CTTTCTGTGTTTTTATCATAACTTTGTATTCCGATATCCTATTGAGGCGATGCAAAATGCGTTGGAAAGCTAACTCATCTGGATACAAGTTTAATTCAGTCATCATTCTCTAATTCGATCACTTTCTATGCCAAAAATAGGTCTCAATATGAGACTAAAACACCAGAGCATAACTTTTCCGTTGGAAATTGATTTGTGATCATCTTTTGACTAAATTTGATCCCCTTGACATCTTCCTTTATCCAATTGACTCCGTGCACTCTCAAATCTTCATCGTGAGATTCGGCACAACTTTTAAGTATTTACATTTTTGCCCCCGAATTTTGGATCCTTTACAATTTAGCCATTTCTTCAAATTTGTCTACTTTTACTTATTTTCTTCAATCTCACAAACCTACATCACAATATCAAAATCACACATCTAATTATTTATCAATTACATAAACATTATATCATTAATTATTTATAGGGTGTATGTTTATGCTTTTCAATAGAAATCAAGCCGTTGGCAACACAATTCATGCCGTTGGGAGCCGCAATTTTGGACAAATTCTCTCACTGTAGAGCTGTAGGTTTGAAATAAAAAAAGGTAACATAATCAATTTTCCTTCCTCCTTGCAGCGCGCCCAGACACGTCCTTAATTAACAAAAAAAAATTACATCTTTATTAATAACAAATTAATTATTAAATAAAAATATTAAATATATACTAAGCAAATGCACGTTGCTTGCACCTACTATTTGTACAATCCTCTTCGATGAAAAATATCTTTTGGTTTTTCAATCTGATAAATCTGATTCTTATATCTTATATTAATACCCCAAGTCATCAAATTATCTCAATAATTATACAAATTTCACCATCTGCTCTAGTCAATTAGTTCAATTCGCGTACTGTGATTAGAAAGAAATTGCGACGTCGATCATGGATTCTTTTATGAATAAGGGAGGATTCAAAGCTGCGAAATGGTAACCTATTTTTTCTTATCGTATTTTTAATCATAATTTTTTCGTTTCTGGGGTTTTTGTAAGTATACACAATTGGATAAGTTGGTGAGGAGCTGTTCAAAAATTGCGGACTCGCGATCAAATCAGAGCATGATATTTTCAAGATGAAAAGAGTATATGATGATTTTATGTGCTGCTATACTCGATTAAATTTGATTGGGCTTTTTGGCGTTTTTTTGAAAAATAAATTTGGGGAAATATTAAAAGGGTGGTGATTGTTGAAGTGAGTATAGTATTTCTGATTTTTTTTCTTAATGTTACAGTAAAACTCTGTTGAAACTGACAATTCCCCGAATAAAGTTACTGAGGAACAGAAGAGAGATACAAATAAAGCAAATGCGTAGAGAAATTGCCAAGCTCCTTGAGACCGGCCAAGAAGCAACTGCTCGGATTCGAGTATTAATCTGCTCCTTTTCGTTCTTATGAACTTATTTGATTTTTACACGCAGTCTTTGCCTTCATGCAGAAAATGATTATAATTATTTTGTAATTTAGGTTGAGCATATAATAAGAGAAGAGAAGATGATGGCAGCACAGGAGATAATTGAGCTATTCTGTGAGCTTATAGTTGTACGTCTTCCAATCATTGAAGCACAAAGGTATTTTGTCCTCCACCAGCCCCTTATTTTAATATCTATATATAGGTACTTTAGCTCAATGATGAGGGAGCAGAAACAGGTAAGGTTCTGGTAATTGTTATGTAGCAAAACCAAAAACTAGGAGAGATCAGTAATGAGAAGATATCCAAGTCTTTCCCACTGCTGTCTTTTTCGTCATAGGTTTCTTTTTCAGTTCGGTGAAAGCTTTCCTATATTTTCTTTCCCCAATGATTTTGAGACTATTCTATCTTGCTTTTCCATTTATCTGGCCTTTTCTGGGATGTGTGAGCATTTTTGGAGTCATTTTACTCTTTCCTATGGTTGAAGTAATTACGAAAATTGAAAAAATGAGAATGTTTGGGGACGGTAAGCCACTTAATTGTTCATCATACAAAACATACTTATATTGTGGTTAAGTTATTTGTTAAGGATGTTCTAATATCAACTAAATCATACTCCAGAATCACTATTTGATAAAAGACGTATGCAATAAGCTATTGAGAATGTCCTTTTAAAATCTAACGCACGATCACATCTTTGTGTCATCTCCAAATAATGCCATTTCTCCTCTCATCTCTGCATACAAAAGTAAACAAAAATTGCCTCTGTATAACTGTGAAGATCTATGGTTTGTGAGACAAATTGTAAGAATGCCAATGCGCCAACATTTCCAATTTGAGAAAAGCATAGATGCAATGATTGCTTTTGTATTGAAAATTTAAATGGTGGGGATAAAATATTCCTTCATAGTTCATAAGAATTTTCTTTTTAATAAAAATCACAAATAAGTTTATTGTTATAAATGTCAAATTTAAGGAAAAATTGCAGCTACAGTCCTAAACCTTTCACTTGATTGCAGTTTTTACCCTAACTTTTCGTTTGTGGTACCCATATTCTCAAACCTTTAATTGATTGTAGCCAAAGGACAAATTTGTTCACGTTGTCCCAAACCTTGATCGTATAAGCACGTATATTTATATGTTATATCTTTTATCTTTATAGCTTTCTATTTTTTAATTAATAAATAATTACTTTTTTAAGCTTTGATTTTATAGGTTTTGATTTATTTTGGTGAGATCTTTAGATTTAGAGGAGGCATTTGTTGTGTTAAGATATCTTTGGGTTAAACTCTACATTAAAAATAACAGGGAAAGAAAAATGCATAAAGTAGATTTAATTCAAATTAGATAAACTTCTTATGATTTCCCTCACGTTATTTCGACTTTTTCATACAAGTATTCTTATATTAAAATTTTTATTATGTTGTCTAGAACTTTTTCCTTGCATGTTAGAGGCAAAGGGAACTGTATGAATTGGATGTTAAATTGTGTGCAAAAATAGTTGAGTAGCCTTGAATGTGCCTAGATGGAAACGAATGTGATAAATTGAAAACATGAATCCATTGAAGTGATGATTGTCACGTAAATAAACCTTAGTAAACAAAGACTATGTGAGATGTATCCTCATACCGGTATCCAAAATTTGGATTAGACTATGTGAGACGTATTCCCGTATCGGTATCCAAAATTTGGATCTTTGTAACCGTATCCCCATAACCTCTATTTTTTAAAACAAGGATCCAGCTCTTAGACATGTACATATACCCGAGTCTGAGCAAAATAACACAAATCATTTTTTTTTCTTAGAGACAAAAATCTGAGGGTTGCAGGGTGGCGCAATTGCCTATGATATATCTCGAGCTTCCTTTATGAGCATGATTTAAAAGCACACAGATTTGGAACAGTACTGTGGAAATGGTGGAGAGAAAGCTAGCGGGTTGGAAGCGTATGTACCTCTCAAAGGGAGGACGTCTTACTATCATAAAGTCCACTTTGTCGAATCTTCCTACTTATTTCTTCTCGTTGTTTCCTATTTCTGTTGCAGTGGCAAAAAGATTAGAGAGGATCTAAAGGGAGTTTCTTTGGGGAGGATTAGGGGAAGAGAGGAAATTACATTTGGTTAACTGGCGTGTAGTTCTCCCATTAGATTCAGTGGTCTCGGAATGAAAAGTCTTGTACTGTTTAATAAGGCCTTGTTGGGTAAGTGGTTGTGGCGATTCGGAGTGGAGAGGGAGAGTTTTTGGAGAGATGTTATAGGGGCAAAATATGGTGTTATGGAGGGAGATGGTGCTCTGGTGAGAGACGTGGTTCCTATGGGGTGAGTTTGTGGTGGTATATCCGGCGAGGGTGGAGCGACTTTCGGGATAGATTGACTTTTGTAGTGGGGAAGTTTTTGGAATGATTGTTAGTGTGGAGATCAACCGCTTAAGGTGAGATTTTCTTCTTTGTATCGTATTGCGTTGGAACCGTCTGCTATGGTGAATGATGCCCTAGATAATCATAATGAGAGCTTTAGTTGGAACATTGTTTTTGGCCGGGGCTTGCAGGACTGGCAATTGGATGATTATGCGTTGTTTTTGACATCTTTATACGAGGTACATATCAGGGCAGGAGATTGTGAATGTAGCAGGTGGAGATTGACATGAGATGGTATTTTTTCAGTTCGCACCTATTTTAGATCCCTATTGAGAATTGTAGAGAGTTCATTCCCCTGGAAGATGGTATGGAAATGTAAACTGCCTCCACGAGTGACATTTTTATTATGGACGGTGGTCAGATGACATGTGTTAACGGTGGATAACCTTCGTACAAGGGGTTTCTATGTTACAGAGTGGTGCTATATGTGTAAGAGAGATGTGGAGACGATTGACCACTTGTTTCTTCATTGCGATGTTGTTCGTTTACTGTGAAACGATATTCTGGCATCGCAACATATGTATTGAGTGTTGCTGAGGCGTCGAAGGACTTGTTAAAGGCATAGGGAGAAAGTTTCGAGATAAGGATAGCAAACTTGTATAAGACCTTATTCTGGGTTGCATCGTATGGTGTGTGTGGAGAGAAAGAAACAGTTGCTGTTTTGAAGACCAAACACGGATAACAGAGCAGATTAGATAATTGTTTTATTTGACATTGTATATTTGGTTTAATGTTGCGGCTATTCGGCATATAGACGGGCTGCCTAATTTCATGTTGTTACTTTTTTATTTAAATTGATATTACACTTTCTATTTATTATGCATTGATTAATAAAATATTTGATTATCTTTCAAAAAAAAAAAAAAAAGAGACAAAAATGTTAGTTCTCAAAATTCAGTCCAATGAGTAGGCAAGTTTGTAAATTTTAGGAATATGATTTTAATTAAGAAAATTATTTGAATCTTAGATCCAGCATTAGATCCAGCATGGGCACTGCACGATTATGTATGAATTGAAAAACTAATTTTGAATACTTAGGGTCTAGGGATACAATGTATTGCTGCATATGTACTCCATAAGTGTACCCTGTGTATGGGCTTCCTGGATGTTTCATCACTTGTATCTGCATACGTACTATACCATCTTGTAGTTGGATTCAAGACATACAAGCCTTTCGCACACGTACTCTTCCTTGAAACTTCCTGTTTACTGTTTTCAACAAATTATTCCTTTCCTGGGAATTCCTCCCTCCTGAAGTAAAATTCTTCAATAAAAGCACTGTTGTAATGGACAGGGACTTCTAACTTGAAACAGATGGCTTGTTTGTGAGATGAGATACTGTGGCCTGGTTTGCCTTTATTTTGTTTTTCTGACATGAAATTTCAACGCTAGATTAGGAAAGCTAAGAAATTAGACTACATTTGTTGTAAATCAATTCTACTTGGCCTGTCTATAGAAATTTGAGTTCGACCTGATTTATACATGTCCATGGTCTTTCCGGATTCCAACTACAAGATGGTTAAAACTTATTTTTAGTTACAGAGACAATAATGCAACATGTAATCTATTCTTTTCATATAATAGAACATTAAATTTAACCTGTCCTTGCTTGTAAATGAGTGGCCACTTGTCAGTAAGGCCGTGTTTGATAGGCCACATTTTCCGGGGAAGTAGGAAAATATTTTCCTCTTACCACTTTTTTGGCTGTGCGAAATTTTCCACGGAAAATATTTTCCGGATTTTCCTCACACGTGTGCCTTTTTCCGGTTTTTGATGAAAATGTTTTCTCGCCTTTTTGGTGNTTCGGGTTTTTGATGAAAATGTTTTCCCGCCTTTTTGGTGGGAAAATATTTTCCCGGCTGGCTGGAAATTTTATTTTATTTTATTTTATTTTTTTGGGCAATGGAAACAAATGTTATAACTAATGGTAAAAAAAAAATTCCACTTTAATGGACAATTTTCATGTAAAACAAAGTCAAACGAACACTAAACTTTGATGAAAAAAATGATTTTTTAGGAATCAATTTTTTTTCCCTTTTTTTTAACTTTTTGGCAATGGAAATAAATTTTATAACCAATTGTGGAAAAAAGTATCACTTTAATGGACAATTTCCATGTAAAACAAAGCTAAACGAATAGAAAATTTAAAAATTTTCCGGGTGGAAAATTATACCAATCAAACACACTTAAAATCATTTTCCATGCAAAACATTTTCTAGGCAAATCGTTTCCCTGTAAAACATTTTCTTTCCACCCATTTTCCAGCCTTGCAGTCAAACGCACCCTAATAGTTGTTTGGTTAGAGACAATGATATTAACCTCCATGGCTCTGGTAAGAGGTTTAGAAAAGTAGGAATCTTCAATTGAAATTGATCATTTAGTCTGAAAATTATAATTGGGGTCTTTCCTGATGGTATAGAACGTTATCAGGGAAAAGTTAAAAGAAATATAGAAAATATTGTGTTTGCTTTCCCATTTTGGTTGCAAAATTCATCTGAAAAACCAGATAGAATGTAAAAGTGGAGTGACCAACTGCTTCAGCTTGTCTGGGTTTAGACTAATATTTAATAAAACCGATTTTGATGCTTTCGGTACTACCTTAAGCTTTTCTGTCTTTTGATTCTGTCTCGCCCCCTTTGACCCTATATCAATAGTTGGTGATGCAGATTGTTGAATGATGGGCCTATATGAAGTGTTTTCTTCCTCTTTTTATTAGAGAATGCGTTATTACTTTTGCTATATATGCATCTCTGACTAAGCCACTGAGGTACAACAAACTTTACCGACTTGTTCCATGATCTGAATGTAAACGTTCTTTACAATGTTTAGGGAGTGTCCTCTAGACTTGAAAGAAGCAATTTCCAGTGTATGCTTTGCTGCACCAAGGTGCGCCGATCTCCTAGAGTTAATGCAGGTTCAAATGCTGTTTGCTGGAAAATATGGAAAAGAATTTGTTTCTTCTGCAACTGAGCTTAGGCCGGAATGTGGTGTAAATCGCCAGGTTGAATAATATGTCATCTTATGGAATTTTATTCAGAATTTGAAATTGTTTTAACTTTATTTCTCTTCTTATTTCCTGTGATATTTTATACACTTGTAGTTGGTGGAGCAATTATCTGTTCGAGCTCCAACTCCTAATGTGAAACTGAAGCTGCTCAAGGAAATTGCTGAAGAGCATGAGCTAGACTGGGATCCAAGTGCGTCTGAAACTGAATTGCTGAAGCCACATGAAGACTTACTGGTACAGATTACTTCTCATTGCTAAACTCCATTTATATCTTCATGCCTGATGTGTGTGCCTTTCCTTTCCAGAGTGGTCCGACACAATTTCCCAGTGGTTCTAAGTTGCCCTTTAACGGTGAGAAACATGATGAACCATTGTATTCCGCATCCAAACAAGACACGGAGAAACAGCCTGATTCTGATGCAGATTTTGAAGTATTAGATTTTCCAGAAGTTCCTAAGCAGCCATTACAGTCAAGTAAAGGCACAGTCTCGGCACCAGAAATGCTTCCTTTTCCTGCATCTGCCCTATCTGAAAGTTACCAAGAAGATTCAGAACCTTCTGGAGATGACAGAAGTCAGTCAGAAGAAGTGTTGCTGGAGAAATCAGTTAGCAAAGAACGTGAATCCCCCAATATTTCATTGGGTCCAGTGGAAGACAAACAGTTTGTGCCATTCATATCTCCTCCATCACAATCTTCTGCGTCAGTTCCTTTGAGACAAGGAAATATACCTACCCCTGTCGTGGGTATTAAAAGTGAGAACAATGTGGATTTACAGGATGTATTGGCTGCTGCTCAGGCGGCTGCTGATAGTGCTGATCGTGCAGCAGCTGCTGCTCGCTCTGCAGCTAGCCTTGCTCAGCTTAGAATCAGTGAACTTGTCAGGAAAAATAATGACGTGGTTTCATATGGTAGAGTTGAAAATCCCTTTCATGGTAACAAAGCCACGTTGGATGACATAGAAAAGCCTGTTTTGGATAATCAAAGCTCGTTTGGTTCTGACAGTGTTTTGGGTTCTCCTTGCATGCATCAGGCGTCAGACCTTAGTTCTAACAATGCCAAAGGGGAAGTGAATACCTCATCGCCCAACAATCACGTCGTCAGCCCCGGAACTGCTCACCAACCTCACAGATTACCTTCAATGGACGATGACACAATTCTCTCATATCCAAACCTGTTCACTAGGCAAAGCTCAAATCTTAGCTCTCATGCTCTGTCATTTACAGAAAATTCCAGGTCAACCCAGAATCAGTAAGGTTGAGTTTCATTTGGCGTTCCTTTTTCCCGGCTTCTATTTCTTATTATCCTGCTTCGACCCTGGTCGAGGCATTGTGTGAAAATTCGCCGATTAAAATATTACTGTATTTATAAATGATTATGGATGTTCGATAATAAAATAGTTGGATTCTATGTTTGTTGTTTCTGTTTGTTGAAATTGGAATAGGAATATGTTTGCCCATATTACTTGTATAATAGTGCAGCAATGCAGAGCAGACATTTCATCCCTCCCTCCGTGCTTCTACCGGGCGTCAACAATAGTCGCTGCCATCCAACAAACTCGGATAATTTACTGATCTCGATTAATCCAGTACACAATGCGGGGATGGGATAGGGGTCGTTGCCCTGGGTGGGAGATGGGACAGGTGTGGGAAACATGGTCCCTACCTTGTTTAAAGTCCATTTCAAAATATAAATTTTTTTGACATAAAAATAAAATAATCACCATCATTTTTAGGGGAAACTTGGGTTCTACCAATTGGAAAGTAATGATTTTCACCAACTGAGAATGATAAAAAAAAATAAAAAGTAATGGACCGTTAAACGTGGCAGGGGATCTGGCCCCTCTGCACGGCCCTACTTTGCCCTTGCCTCTGCCCTGGTCTCGTACCCATCTTAATCGGTTTCCCATCTTAGCCGGGGTATGGGAACGGGGCAAGGAGATAAGCATACTCGATGGGGACACGGGATGAGAATGACTACCACGATCTCGATCCAAACTCATCTCGTTGCCATCCCTAGATACTTTTACATGATTATACAAGACTTTGAGCAAGGTGAGTTTATTTGTTTGAAGGTTCTTCCTTGTTTAGGTATTTATTTAACTTTTTTCATTAATATCTTTAGAATTATTTTTTTTTTCCTTTTTACGCGTTAATCTTTTAATATCTAAATACACGTATGTATATTGTGCACACATATTGGCACAAAACTTTACGTTAGTAGTATATGCTTTTGATTTTCTCAACCTGAAATAAATAATGATTCATCATAATTTGAATGGGGTCTCCTTTAACTTGGCTAATAATTCAATTGATCCGAGTATTATTCAAAGGTTCATTTAGCCCATGTTTGTCTATCATTATTTCAATTTTTTTTTTCAAATTCATTTTCAACCACAAATTCACACAATAAAATATTTTACACGTAAATACAAACATTTTCCTACTTTTTAATCACATTATTAAAAATTCACTATTCCAAAACTCATTTTCCTACATTAATGGTAGACAAACATGGGCTTATCTGTATGCTAAAATTCAAATGATTTGATCATCATTCATGAAATTCACACACATATCAAGAATACGTAAACTTGAGCCATCCCTAGTTCTAATATCATAGTAAAATTTGGAGTAATGACATTTAACCCCAATTTGTGCTTATTTCACCAGTCTAGACGTCCATAAATAATTGTACATTTTTAAATAAATATATATTCAATCATTTAATAATGCTTAATTATTGATATTTAGATCTAAGCACCAAGAATAATGTTATATAGCATCAATGATGTTGACTAACTTTATTTAAAGATTTAAGATTCTTTCTTAAAAAGTCTCGTTAGAAAAAGTAGTGGAAGTATTTATATGTTAGAATATTTTAGGCCATGTTTGATATGACAAGTTTTCCATGGAAGATGGAAAACGTTTTGCCATTTTCTACTTTTTAGAGTGTTTGATAGGAAACATTTTCCAGGTAATTGATTTTTCATCTTTTCTTGGTCTGCCACATTTTTTTGCTTTTTGAGGTAAATCACTTTGGTGAGAATTGGTTTTCTAGGCAACTTTTTTTTTTTTTGGCAATGAAAACAATTGTAACAAATTATATCCTGGACAATTTTCATGAAAAATAAAGCCAAACGAATATCAAAAGATTTTTTTTGTTTAAATGGTTTTTCACCTTTTTTTTTTTTTTTTTTTTTTTTGGGCAATGGAAACAAATTATATCCCAAATCGTAACAAACTATATTCCTTTAATGGACAATTTCCATGAAAAATAAAGTCAAACGAACACCAAAATATCCAAAATTTCAATAGTTTTCAGGTGAAAAATTATACCAATCAAACAAAATTAATTGACAATTTTCAGTAAAACAAGTTCTAGACAATTCAATTTCATAGAATTTATTTTTTTTCCACCCAAATTATATTCTTGCTATCAAACGGACGCTTAGTGTTTAATCGGTGGGATTCATCTCTTAACATTTATCACCAAAAGTAAAGGGACCATTTTGTTTGCATTTCAGTTTTGAGTTGATATTTTGTTTTCTATTTGGAGTATCTTTTAGGATTTTGGGTTGCCATTCTGAAAAACTATTTTTCAAAACAATAATGAAAAAACAGGTTTAGAATTTTTAGCAATTATTCTATGACATTTTATTCAATGATTTTGATTATTGAGTACATGGAACAATTTAATGGTAATATATTATCAAGTAATATACACATTTTAATCTAAAATAATATTTTTTTCCGCTATACAAAAAAATAATAAAACTGACTTGAAAGAAATAGAAAGTAAAAAATAAAAACTAATGACGTGAATTGATTTTGAGTGTCTTGATTTGAATTTTATTTTAATCTTATGCGTGTTGGGTGTTTTTAATGACAACACTCAAAAAAATTATTTTGAATTTTATGTTATAAACTTTCTCTTGTTGAATACCAAACCAAACAAGTATTGGATATTTTACAAAACTAAAATTAGCATGAAAACAACAAACCAAATGCCTCAGAAGGTGTTAGCGTGTTTGGAAAAACTTAAATTTCTTAAAATTGAACAAATATAATTTTTATTCACACATATCGTAGAAGAGGCCACAAAGGCTCAAACACACACCACCTACAAGCTTGAATATTTATTTGGTTTAGTAAATCAAAGGAACTTGATCCATCGGATTGAAAACCCGGGTCCTTGATCGGGCTGGGTTGTATCATATGATCCAAATGGAACTGGAAAAACCAGCATTAAGCCTTGGGGAGAAATGAGTTTGAGTAGGTGAAAGCATTCCATGATATCAAGGATGTCTTGTGCCTTGTGACCGGTTCCATCTCTTTGTTTACAATCCAAGAGTTACTTTTGTTTCGGAATAATTTGATAACTTGATCGAGTGTGCTTTCTTCTATTTTATTTTTTTTTCTAAATAAATTCGGCAGGACAACTTGTCCAACAATTTGCATTTTATGTGGTTTGACGATATAAATAATGCAACAACAAAATTTCCATGCCACGTTATCTTTATGGTTGGCCATGACAAAAATTCCTCTAATCCAACATGAACAAATGCCTGAACTAACATACAAGTGAAATTTTCACGCCTCACCGAACAAAAGAAATTTTGATTACCAAAGTAGAACAGTCCTACAAGCCACTCTGTGCGACTAACAATATTTTTAACCCTACGCCGAGATGCATTGTTGACGTGACATATCTCTTCGACAAGAAGTATACAATAGATGCATCTAGTTAGATAATTAGGATGGTTAAATAAAAAAGAAAATACAAAAACTTAGGTATTTTTCTCAAACTCTGTCTTAAGTGTTTAAAATTTGAAACATGGGAGGACACATCACTATCCATAAAGTCAAGAAAGAAAAAAAAAGGTTCATTTAATCCCAACTCTTAGCTTCACGTTTATGACAGCCCTTCTTCTCCTTATAATAACTCCTTCCATTAAATACGCTTCACTACCATATATGTGTATAATGTATTGTATGGTCTTTTTAGTAATTTCACAAAAAAAGTTGAATAGAGAGCACGTAATGTATGTTCACGTTACTTGTGAAATCCATTACATGCAATGTTTTGAAAACAAGTTTAATTATTAACTCGAAAAAAGTAAAGAGTCATTAGTCGAACTGGTATTTAAAAATATTAAATAAATAAATTAAAATAATATATTGACATACACCAACTAGTTTAGGGTTAACCAGCAAGTTTTGGTTGCCAACGGGGGTGGTCTATGTCCATTCATGTTGTGTCGTGTATCCACACGCTCATGTAGTGTATGATTTTTTTTTTATTGACTAAATGTAAATATAGATAATTGATATTTTCCAATTTAGTTTTTGCATTATTTTTTCTATCTAGGATATATGCAGGGCGGAACCAGCACTCGACGAGCCCTGTGGCCATCAGTGTTGGCTCTGTCGAATTTCTTTTCCTTATATTAAACGGCCACTCTATCGGCCTTATAGCTGCCACCCGTGCTCATCTGGATTTCTGAATCCACCACCGAATGTCGTGATGTTCATAAAGATGTTCAACTTTCTTTAGGTTTTGCCTCGCCTAACAAATGAACATATTACTCATAGTTCTAGGTTTATTATTTTGATCGACTCACTGAAACATGTGAAACTCTTTCAAAAGATGGCCGCGTATCATGTGAAGGGCATCAGAGTACGTCTCACACTAATATTTAATACCCCCACCCCACCTCACCCCACCCCACCTAGTATGTTATAAATCTTGTCCCATTTCTCACGTTCCCTTCAATATTTTTTTTGTAAGAAATGGAACAAATGAAGAAAACACTGTCAATTGCAGTATTCTTGTTGATACTTGCTACTGGAAACACTCTTCGGCCATATCATTGTAAGTAAAAAAATTGTCAGTTTCATCTATTCCTTTTATACCACAAGAAATTTCATTCTTATGGACAAAAATTTTCGTCTTAAAAAATTATTTTGTCAAAAGGGATCGTTTTCAAGACAAAAATTTTCGTCGTAAAAGTGAAATTATTTATATATTTGTATGTTGTTACTAAGATTTAGATTTTCGCTGCAAACATATTTTAGTTGCCCACCAAAGCAAAGGTCCTTTCAAGGGTGACCAAAGACATATGTCCCGTCAGGTATGTTACCAAAATTAATATCATTAACAGTACATTCATAACATGTACATTATCGATTTTCTTGTACAATATTGTTGAGTACTTGATACAGACGATACCCCAAAAGTCCATCGTTTACTTATATAACCCGTGTTTGAGCCTCGTTATGGTGAAAAATGAGTTTTGTAAAGTGCAATTTTTAAAATTTTTTAAAGAATGTATGGTTAAAAATATGAAAAAAATTTAGTTTTACCTTCAAAATTATTTTATTCGGAAAATGTGTGATTGAAAATGAGTTTTTAGAAAATGAGGCTAAAAAAGGGACTTAATTTTTTTCTCATCTTATCTTAGTTTACGTACAACAAAAGCTATACAAATTCTCATATTTCTTTCGTTATTGTGTGGATTATTGCGTTCAATTTATATAAAATAGCCTTACATGACCGGGCAGGAGGAAACGAAGGGAGACGGATTAGGAATGGAACTTTACCCGACGGGGTCGAGCCTGCCTGATTGTTCGCACGCATGTGGGCCATGCGTCCCTTGCAAGAGGGTGATTGTGGGCTACAAGTGCTCGACCGAGTCATGTCCCGTCGTCTACCGGTGCATGTGCAAAGGAAAATACTACCACGTCCCCTCTAATTGACACAATTAATAGCAGACAGTAGACTGCTTTTGAAGTGTATGCAGGTTATCTGAGGAAGGATTTTTAAAGTTCGCTTAAATTTGTCTTAGCTTAATTTTCCCATTTAGCTTGTAGTGATAAGAGTTACAGGATTAAATTGAAGCCATTTACTGATATATATTCGTACTAGAAGTTGGTCTCTAATTTAAATTTTTAGCGAAAATCGTCCCTAATATTTCAAGCTCATAGCAAGTTCGTGTGACTTGCACGTACCTCACTTCTTGAATGGTAAATTTCACCCAACTTAATTTCAAATTAAAAAGTAAATAACAAAAAACAAAGTGAAAAATAGAGAATTATTCTTGGTGTACAGGGGGTTCTCACATAGAACACTCACAAAGGGGGAGGGGTGGGTAAATTTTTTTTGCCTTTTTATTATGCGTGAGCCACCCTTTGTGAGTGTTCAGACCCCCTGTGGAGGGGGCGGTGGAGGGCATGTACACCAAGAATAATTCAAAAATAGAAGAAGTTTTTTTAATACATGGGGCCAGCCGGCTGCTAGAATGAGAGGTATGTAAGGCCCCTGTGAAAAAACTGCCCTATACGCAGGGTATAAGTGAAAATATAATTCCTTAATACCTAGCTACTGTCCACAATGATGTTAGAGCATGATTTGTGATAAGAATACAAGAAATGATGAATATTTTAATAACAGAAAGTCATTTTTGAGTTGTTTCATCAAGGAAGGATCGTCGAAAAATATTGCACATATATGCTCCAACTCTAGTGTTTTAATCCTAAACTACAACTTTCTTTGTGAAATTTAGCATACGACACCTTAGGAGCGAAGTTGGGGGACAAATTTTTTTTTTTTAATGTTGACTGATACATAAAAAAAAAAAAATTCATTAGAAATTTTATTTTTCCTTAGAAAATATTTTTTTTTTTACCTTCAAAAAAATTATTTGGGCTTCGGGCAGGCCTGACCTAGCCCCTCCCTCCGACCCTTGGAACACCCATTTGCACTCCCCCAACTTTGCACACAACTCGTAATTGGGTTTTATCATTCTTTATATACTTCACTTCTTTGGCATGCTTTACATAGTGTTATGTAGAGAATTGATCTCATGTTTCCAGTAGATTGGATACAAATTTCTCACAACAGACGTGGCAAGAGAATCTTAGTTATGATTATCTAAATTTATGACAATTTCAAAGAATCATAATTAAGATTATCTTAACACGTCAACGATATAACGCTTTTATCCTGTTCATTGGGGGTAGGAGATCAGGACTAGTATTATGTAATGACCTTGTTTAAAACCTTCTCGTCAACAAATTATTGCATGACACTAGTTAAATTGCAGCCTACATAACAATATTTCGTATTAAAGGTTGGGGACATGAACATGAAAATTGCTGTGAGTACAGGGACAAATTAACAGAATTAATACAGATTTTTGAATTTCACTCTCATAGGGTGGGCCCCATGTGAATTAAAATATTGACAAAAAATCTCACCTACCCACCCCTTCCGTGTGTGTTCTGGTAGGTACATGAATTTGAATTCCTGTACATGTAGCATGTCTCCATGAACATAGTTCATGTTTGATCCTCATTTTTCAAAATTAATTGTTTCTCAACACCTCCATCACCACAAGATTCACCTCCAAAATCACCACTTTCACCATTGAACTAGTACTGCACCCTTTGCAGGCTGCATAAATGTTTCCTAAAACTAATCAGTAAAATAGTTCCCACACCATTTATTAGTATTTCCTTCGATTCCCTAACCATTTTCAAGTAGTTGGTTCCTTCAAAAGGATTGTCTTGGAATGCAATTGGAGGTTGCGAACCAGTTAGTGGCTGGCTTTCAGCCCCTGTACTTCATCTTAAATTTTTTTGGTAATGCATAAAAACAATTAATATGTATATCCAGTCAAGTTTATCTAAATAAATTGAAAACCTCTCTCGAGCTAATTCAAATCGTATTAATTAATATATTTAGAGCGTGTTTGGTTAAGATTAAAATTCAATTAAAATTGAAAATATTGTCGTCATTGAGTCTCACTCGTCTAATAAAAGTCAACAATAAGGCTAGTTTTTCAATCTTAATCTGATTTTAACTTAGCCAAACATGCTCTTATATGTATTTCAATATAATTAAATGCATTAAATCCATCTAAAAATTTATTTAATGATTGCAATAACCCTAAAAGGTTATTTATATATTTTATATAAATTACCGATTTTTACTATTTGTCATTATTGTTCCCAAATCAATCACTATTTATCAGGTATAAGTGCAATAATCACAAAACAATACCCAATATCAATAAAAATCATATCTGTAATAATCCAAAATGCCCGAGTGTACAATGTACATACCTTTTACATGAAAGGAGATGCTTTCGCAAATTTGTGCACACGCGGTGCATGCACTCTTTCACGAATGGAAGAGGAAATCATCTTTTCTGAATTGACGGCGAAAGATCATCAAAATTATTTACACTAGAAAGTGATATATAAACACTTGAGATAAAAAAAAAAATGTAAATAATGAATTACATAATATGACGTGGAGGGAAAATATTGAATGAAAAAGTTGATTGTGTTTTAAAATGACAAATATTAGAATATCATGTAGTATTATATAATCCATTATGAAAATTTTTATGTACATGTAGCAAAATCAGAATGTAACCATCTCATTTTGACTTTCGGTGAAAAAAAAAGCTAAACCTCATATAGCATTTAACCATGAATAATTCAATCTTTGAGATTAACCGCAATATTGTTGCTCATTTTTGCATTTATGTCTCCAACTTTTTTTGTTGCATGATTAACCTTAAAATTATAATTAATTTGCAAATCTTGTTTGTGATAGCGATTTCCATCCAAAAAGTGCGATGATAAGAATCAACATAATTAAATACATTATTAGTCCACCAGAAAATTCATTTAACAATCGCAATAATCCTAAGAGTATATATCTATCGACTTTCACCATTTAGACCAAACTATAATATTTCACCTCTTGGCTCAATATAGTCACAAAACAATCAATTAATCATCACATACAAGTGCAATAATCACAATAATAAAAGAAATACCAATATATCAACAAAAATCATGTCTTGGATAATCGAAAATGAGTCTGCGTGTACAATGTACATACCATTTACGTGAAAGATATTTTCACAAATGTGTAACTCGTGATCTTGAAAAAGTGGTTTGAACGTGTATTACATAAAGTTATCATGATCTCGTTTTAATCTGGCAAGGTCATGATTTCAGCAATAAGAGTGCGACAAAAAAGAGTTACACCTTTGAATCATCTTCGAAAAGTCATCTCAAGGCTTGTTAATGGATGGAGATGAACCCTAAAATGTACAAGATAAAATTTATTAACTATTATATCAATTTTGTTTATGTTGTTTTTGCTCGTCAAGTCATATACTTAAAAGACTATAATAACCTCAACTATTCAAATTTTGTATACGAGTTATTTATACAAGTACATTCATCAAATTAGTTAGTATATGTTTGTGCACGCATGGTGCACACACTTTCTCGCGCAAAGGAAGAGGAACTCATCTTGATATAGATTTGCTGAAGTCCAAATATACCTCTCAAATAATCCATTTCAAATAAATTTATATTTACCCTTTTTCTTATTAAATAAATAAATTAATTTTTTTTACCAAACAATAAAATATTTGTTGCGCACAGTATGTGGAATGATTATTAAATCTCCAAAATTCGTTGATTGAGAATTGAGCAAAATATGAAGAAAACTATCACAAATATTATAAAATCAAAACTGAAAAGCTATAGTGTCCATTTCTTTCATAAAATCGGATAATTGAATTGCCTAGAAGCTATTAAAAAAAAACGACTTTTACTTCAAATGGATGAGGTCCTTTCTTGTAGATAGAGATACAAAAGATGTTGTGTCATATTAGACATATTGGACCAATGGCATTTCCTTCCACATCTATTACATGTAATTTCGTACTCATTTTCATATGAACTATTTCTTGTTGCATTTGTAGCATTATATATTGTGTTCCATCGCTGGTGGTTTGATTTGTACTTCTTAAATATGCCACCTTGTTGATAGTTCTTTCCATTGCGTCGATAGTGCTCGTACCTCCATCCACATCCACGTCAGCCTCCTCTTACAAGCCAACGCCAGCACCAACGTCAATGTTAGGGCTGCACAAAAAAATTTCGAAATCGCAAATTGAACCAAAATCGTTGTTTGAAATCGTTAGTTCAGGCCCACATGGACCCGCTGTTTTTTTTCCCTCAAACCGAACTAAACTGTTTCAAAATAGTTTAGTTTAGGTTTCATTTTCAAAAATCACATAAAATCAAACTGAATCATTTTTTAATTAAAAAAATTAAATTTTTTAACTTATAAATTTTAAAATTTTCACTTTCTAGAAAAAAATACCAATTTAGCAACATAAATTACAACTAACCAATTGAAATAATCATATAAAGTAAATTAAGTTCATCATTATTGGCCGATGATTTTATAAGTCCACAACACACCATCTTGATCCGATATCTAATTTAAACTAAAATTAATCCTAAATCATGTGAAATAATAATAATAATAATAATAATAATAATAATAATATTTATTTTCAACAATCATAATCATAACAAAACCATGACAGCAAATTACGCCCACAACTTTAGAGACCCTAACCTAAACTCTCATTTATCAAATATTTGACACTTGCCTGCCACTGCTGAACAAAGTGTGATTCCCAATCGCAAATCGCTAGTCGCTTTTTGCTTGTTAATCTTTTAATTTCTACTTGAATAACCTCTCTCTCTTGATAAGTTTTAAATTCTCATTTAAGTCATTTTTTTCATTGTTCTTTCTTTTATTTGTTGTTTTTGAACTTATTATACACTTGTGAGTTGTAATTTGGATAAAAAAAAAAATGATTGTTTGTGTGCCTAGATGATTAATGAATTTCTTTGTGGTTTAGAAAGAATGAAGGATAAAGTGTATTGATTGTGTGAAAATGTTAAAGTTCCCTAACTAGTACTACTACATTATACTTTCTTAAAGTAATTAGAGAATAAAATTTGTCAATTTTCAATAAACTAAACTCCATCATTCTTTGTGCATTTAAACATATCAGGTTCAATCCTTATTTTCATCTCACTAGCAGGACGAAAGGAGTTTTAACCAAACTATTACAGCTGAATATGACTTTATCTTTACCAATCGCTATATGACAATTGAAAGGCAAACAAGAAAATGTACATAAAAATGAAGAAATATATATTCGTTCTATTAATATTTTTTAGCAACCAACTTTGAAAATAATTTATTCACGGGTTTATTGGGAAAGATGAATGTAATTTAACATTATTAGTTCGCGTTTAAATTTATATGTTAACTTATTTTAAATATATTATTATAATGTTGATAAGGAAACTGCGGTTTAAAACCAAACCAACAAGCAAATTATGGTTTGGTTAGGTTTGGTTCGAAAAATAAAATGGCTTGATTTGATTTGAAAAAAATTACAAATAGCATGAAATTGTTTGAGTTGAAAATATGGTACAAACTGTCCAAATCGAATCGCGTTCACACCTAGTCAACATCCACACTCACGACCGCGTCCATGGTTTGAGGTTGCATTGTTTCAAGGAGTGAGATGCCAATTAATTCATGAGATTAAAAGTTTAAAACTAAGAATTATATTTACCTAAATATGTATATTTCAAATAGTTATAAATTTCTCATTCTTAACATTATTATGTTTTTGAATATTTATTTTTCCTTGTTTCTTGAAGTGTGAGAATTGTTAGTCATGCAATTCATGCCCCAAAAAATCTGTTGAAAGGAAATAAAAAATCTAAATTAACAATTAAATAAACTGAGAGGATAAATAAACTCTACAGAGTGGCCAATAGCCAATAGGCCGTTACAACATGATGCTTGTGTCCCCACCATACCCGCCGTACTTTCCCGCCACCAGTTTAATTCCCAGCCGCCACCCCCGGCGGATTCCGGTGGTTCTTAATTGCCGCCGCTCTGTCATCGCGTCGTTTTCGGCCTCCACTTCCGATAATGTGGACGCTTTTACGAAGTACTCGGGGTATCTTTTCGAGCTCAGCACGTCGGAAGCCGAGTCTTTAACTGAATACAATATATCGAGAATCTCTGCAATCTATAAGAAGAAGCCTTTTGTTCTTCTCCGCCGCCTGTTCCAAATTGGCACCACTTTTGGCAAATGGTTTGCGCTCCGCTACTACGATAGCCTCACCGAGCGTTCTGACCTGATGTTCGAGGTCAGAATTAAAATTTCAATTTTCAAATTGAGACTTTTGTGTTATGGGTTAAGTTGTCATAATTCCGAAATTCAAACTGAAATTTTTTTATTTGATATATTTTTTCAAACTTTTGAGTATTGGTCAAAGAATATTTGGTTGTTAATTTGAGATTGAGGAAGGATATTACAGGGAACAAGTTTTACAGTAGTCTCCGGTGCTCTCAATAACTCGGCACGTGATCCTTTTGCTGTTATTCTGGTAGAAGACATAGTAGTAACATATTTCAAATTAAGTTGAATGCAAAAGGCCTTGACAAAAGATAGCGCCTTCAATGTTAAAATTATTAACTCTGGGACCAAACCGAAATAGAAAATGAAAAAGAAGATTTTCCTCCTTTCTCTGAATATAACAAAACCATATGGTATATAGAAAAGGTTGATTGGGATTTTATCCTCACTTTTTTTGTTTTAATTTCTTCAAATGGTATTGAATAAGAATGAAAAGAGTAAAAGAAGGTAAATTTATCCAGTAAGAAGAGAAGTTTAGATACAATTTTGAAGATGATTATAATGGAGCGATGCCTCGTGTTTCCCTAAAATACCAGTAATTGTAACATATTTCCATTAATAAGGAGACTAGTAGCTTTCATGAAACATAGGGGGTTTACCGTTATTGTATTTATACATATATATGTAAAAGTATCTGAGCATCTGTCTTTGTTTTTGATTTCTTCTTTACCTTTTGTGAAATGTAGGTTAGAGCTGCAGAATTGAGAAAGATATTGGTACAACTTGGTCCGGTATGTCTTGTTAATTTATGAAAATTTGTATGGTTTCTTCCTCATACTACTATATTTAGTAGCTTATTGGTATTTGTGTTTGACTCATGTAAATATTTGTCTTTCATTTGTACGGTTAGATTACATTACTGAACCATACAATATTGGTGTACAGGCATTTGTGATATGGAATTGTTGATTTGCATATACACATATCCACGAGTTTTTGCTTGCATATACAAGTGCATTATTTTGAATTTACAGGTGCTTAAATTTCTGTCTTGAATCCAATCCCATGTCTATTTGCTCCCATTCCAAATAAGGGATATGAGATTGATCTTAAAATTATTATATGACATGGCATTACCACTGTAGCCCTGAATATACTAAAATTTCTAGTCTCGCTTATGGTGTGCGAATTGATCATCTATTTTTAAGGATCTGCCTGTCTCATCATGCAAATGATATGACCAAAAATTAGATGCTATCAGGGAAAATGTATTTATCACATTTATATTGATACAATTGAGATAGTAGTTACACGGTTAGATATTACCAAGGTTGGTTTTTGTATAATTATAAAGATTTTTAAAAATTTGGTCCTTTCAGGTTCACATAGATGTATAACAAATATTTTCAGTTTTTGCAAATTCAATCTGATGGATCCATTTCTTTAGCTGCCATAATTTAAACTTTTAAAATATGAAATTTATAAATTAGCTTCGGTATTAATTTATAGTGTAAGTTTTATTGATTTCAAAGGATTCATATTGTGCTAAATATGCCACTCTAGTCTCGTCGGACAAGATTTAATAAAAGCCCGTTCATTTCCAATTCGTGAACTTCGTTGCACAAAGCTATGTGATACACCTTTTTTCCTTATTCGGCAGTTTAATCTATTTACTAATAGTTGAATCTCAATCTGCAGATCGTTTCAACTTATATTCCATATAATTAATATAATTCGACACCATTGGATTGAATTTTTAGTAGATTGAGTGGGAGTGGAAAAACCTTATTTGATGAGAATAGAAGGGGATAAAGTCAAGTTAGAACTCTAGATAGAACTTTGGAATCTAAAAGTTTTAGGTTAAGTAAAACCGAGGTGCACTGAAGCTCACGATATACATGGAAAATCTTTTCAATTATAGAAAGAAGAATGACAGTGAAGTTACCATGGAGGATCATGTTGTTCCAAAGAATGATTGTTTTAGATACTTACAATTGATTATTAGTAAGGAATGAGGGCTCAAACAGGATGTAATACCAAGGATAAGATGAAGTTGGACAAAAAAGAGAAGTGCTAA